CCCTTCCCTGGTGCCCAGTTGAAGAGGCACCTTCACCCAACCCCTTCCTGGAGCTTCCACTTTTGCCCCAGTGGGATCAAGCAGAAAGGAGCTAATCATGTGGGGCAGTTCTCGCTGCTGTTGCAGGACCTTCAGTAAGGGGGGGAGGCCAGGGCTCGGGCCAGGGAGGGCCAAGCAGGAAGTGCAGGTGGGAAGAGTGTGCTTAGGCCCCATGGATGCTTCCAGGAATGGAACCGCACCCCTCCAGCCACCTCTCCCCTTAGCTGGGACCTGGGAAGCCAGGAGGTGGCACAGCTGCAGGTCAGAAGATCAACCGGGGTAACTCTCCATCTGGGGACCTAGGTCCCCCGGCAGCTCTCCCTGAGACAGCCAGCCACTCACCTGCACACCATCATGTGCAAAGAAGGCCTTGGTGTCAGCCTCCGTGGCCAGGTGCAGACAGGTGACCCTGCTCCAGCAGCGGTTGCGACGCACCAGCAGGGCAAAGGCTCGGTCCTCACTGTTGCTGTAGCACTCGGAAAAGAGGTCTGCCGGAACCTGACACTCAGATGGGCTCCCAGGCCAGCCCTCAGCCCCCACCTTCGCTCCTCTGCCCAGCTGGGCTCTGAGGATAAGCCCTACCCCACCTCCCGGGGAGCCAGCCCTGCCTTATACACTCAGGGCTAGTGACCACCGCTGCTTGGCCTGCCCTGGACCTCCCCTGATCTCTGTCATTCTCTGGCCCTTTGACTTCTCTGTCAGGAATGCAGGCATTCATCACCCCAAATGTACCCTGCCCCATGACAGGGCCCAGTGTTTGCCCAGGGGTGCAGGTCTGTGTCTTCACCCTGAGCCTAGTTTTCCCTCTCGTTTAGGATTTGAGGACACATCTTTACCCCCAGGAAGAGTTGGCCCCTCTGTCCTGTTCTTCAGAGGAGGCCTCCAAGGTCACGTTGCATCAGAGGGGGCACAGGCTCTTCCCCAATACTCACCCAGGGCCAGCTGCTCATACTTGGCCTCCCGCATGGTGCGGGCCACCTCGGCCTCTGTCTCCAGGTGGGACATCTCTTTGAGGATTTTGCAGGCGGCTAGAGCGGCTGGCGCCCCCTCCCCGGCCCCAGG